CAAGGAGGGATTAATTTTCTAAGAAAATAATTTTTAAAAATAACAATTTTATTATTTTATGATGCTTGCCAACAAAGAAACCAGCTGGCATTTTTTACTTCATTCAGTTAAATAAAATAATAATCCACAAGCTTAGAGTACCAATAGATGAATAGAATTATTCAAATTTTGATTTTATTTATTTAATAAATAGATAAGTTATAAACAATAATGAAAAAAAAATAGTAAAAAGCACAGTTGTGATGAATTATTTTATGCTTTATTTTGATAAATTATCTCTCATCAAAAGCTGCTAATTTATTTATTTATTTCTCTGATAGGAGCACCTGGTGGATATTGATTTGATTTAGTCAAATGAAATGATAAGCACAAGGACCAAATCCAGGGTATCCTCCTTATCAGTAATTGGGCATTTGTTCAACTAGTAGATAGCTATCAATCTTTTTTTGATAAGTACTTGTTTGATAAAATATTAGAGTCAGCTTTAATGTATTTTTGGTTTTCTGAATTCCATCTTTTGTGATTTGGGTTTTTAAAACAAATAACCATCTACTATAAAATTTTCATTAAATATATTATAAAATATGTTATGATTGGGCATTAAACTTTAAATTAATCTTAATAATTAATATTAGTTAACTAAAATTGCATTAATTTAAGTACATTAATATCATTTATGAAATAATTTAGTTAAATTAAATTTATTATATTTAATTAGTTATATGAATCTAATTAACTATTAAGATATTAATATCAACTAATTATATATTAATTAAGAAAGAGTATAATTGATCATAAGTTTTATTGATCAAAATTATTAACATCCAATAAAAAAAAAAGATAAAAAATATGAGTTATAAAGCAATAAATTTAATCTTAATAATTAATATGACATCCCATTAAAAAATATGTGTTAATTAACTTAATAAATTGAAAATAAATTATTTCTTGAAATATTTTATTTGATTAATTAAGAATTAATTAGTCTAATTAAGACTGATACAAATGCAATATAAATATTATAACAAATCTCAATCAAATAAATTTTAAAATACAGAAACAATCAATCAATTAATTTATTTGAATTTGTTAACACGTATCATACCAAATATTTTTCAGAATTTAACTCACATAAGATTGAATAAAATCAAATTGAAAATTTTATTAAATCCCACTGGAGTTAAATCCAACTTGCGTGTCCGGAGACCAATCAGAACGCGCCACGTCACTTTTTTTTAACAGTACTGGTGCTAGATAGCAGGTGACGTGGTGCATTCTGATTGGTCTCCAGACTGTCTGGTGTCCGCACAAAATAATCTCTCCTATAAGTGCCACTTCCTGGCCAAATTATTCAGACAAACATTCATCACGAGATAGAAGCTAAAGAGTTTCTTTCAAAGCCTAAGGTTCGGTTGGAATAGTTTTTTTACTGTTTTTTAAAATAGTTTTTGTAGCACAAAAATTTCTTAAAAATAGGAAAAAAATGACAAAAAATTGTTCCAAATAAAACTTAAACGAGGGAATAATCTAAGTGGTCTTTCTATGCACAAAAAAATATCACATCCTTCATCCATAAAATAATAATAATAATAATAATAATAATATTTGAAATTTTACAAGGAGAGCAAATGATAGATCTTTCCTCTTTATCAATAGCCATTTTTAGTTTTTTACTGTTCCTTCTCACAAATTTGGTCCCATCTCACCAGTAGGATTGAACCATCGTCCAATAAGAAAACCCTAATAAGAAAAATTGAGCCACAAACTGAAAATTTTATATAATTGCAACATTCAACCGATGCATCAGATTAAAACTTTCTGAAAATTCGGTGGTTTTACAAACCTTGAAAGCATACTTCTGAATAAAATTAAGGCCTCATTAAAACTTATCAGCTTGTTAATTTATCTTTCTTTTTTCCTCCGCTAGGGTTTTTTCCCTCGCGACGGCAGCGTGCCGCTCTCCGCTCGGGGCCGTGGCGTTGGCTTCCAGGGAAGTTCCATTTTTCTTACTCTGGTTTGTATTGTTTCTGAGATTTTGTTGGTGGTTTGCTTTCCGGCATGCACCGGATGGCTCCGAATCTTGTTGATCATGGATTTTTAGGGGTTTCGTCTTCCTCTCGGTCTTTTCTTCAAGCTTTATCGGGATCTTCCTCTAGTAATGAATTTCCTAAACTCAAGGTATCGTCTTTTCGCGGTATGCCTTCCTTGTGGATATCGGATGATGAAATCATGGCTTTGGCTAAACCTTTGCAGTTTGCTCTTGTTGATTTTTTTCCTACGAAACGTCCGTCTCTTGAATCAATTCGTAAAATTTTTTTAATCTTAAGCTTACTGGTGATGTGTTGGTAACTTTGCTGGATTCGCCCCATGTGTTAATCAAACTAGAACAAGATTTGGACTATTGTCGTAATTTCTGTCATAGATCTTATTTGGTTTTCAATTGTTTTATGAAAATTACAAAATGGTCTCCCTTTGTTGGAATTGGAGTTGAATCTCCTGAGATTCCGATATGAGTCTCTTTCCCCTCCTTAAGGCCGCATCTTTTCTCTCCTAAAATTTTGCATGGCTTAGCTTCCATCTTTGGTAAGCCTCTTAAAATTGATACGGCTACGGCTGTGGGCTCTAGACCATCTTTAGCTAGGGTTTTAGTTGAACTGGATATTACTAAAGCTTATCCTGATCATATTTGGCTGGGTTCTGAAAAGCTTGGATACGTGCAGCACGTTGTCATGGAAGAATTCCCTGATTTTTGTAGTGCTTGCCATTGTTTCGGTCATGCTGTGGGTGAATGTAGAAATAAAGCTGTTGTTTTAGATGCTTCTGTTTTACCTATGCAATACCGGCTGGTAATGTGACTCATTTTATTCCTGCGTGTGGGATTGATGGTTGTGGTCATATGGTTGAGGCTTTGCCGGAAGATGCTTTGGTGCCGTAAGGTAGTGAATTGGTGGTTTCTAACCCTACTTTTCCTAAGAATGTTCCTGTCGAGTGCGGAGGTGTAGTTGATGGTATGGTGATCAATTCGCAAAACTTGGTAAATGTTCCAGTTAAACTATCGGGTGGGATTAGTACACACAATGCTGATTGGTTGAATAATTCGTCTGAAGTCGATTCTGATTCTGATTCGTATTCAGATTTTGGCGAGGAGTTCAAATTGGTTCGTGGAAAAAATATTAAGGTTGCTTCTCGGGGAAAATTTTGGAATCGAGGTGGCAGGAAAAGATAATTTCCTTTTCTTTTTGGCTTATTTTTTACGGTTGATTGGTTTGCTCGATGTTTTGAATTGGAGATTGCGGGGCAATGATGTGGCTGGGGCTCCTCCCCTCATCAACTATCTTGTGGCAACCGTTGGTGATCTTCACTAGTCTGGATGGTCCTTGCGCGGATTCGAGGTGCTGGGAGTCCCGGCTATCTGCTGAGCTCTCTTTTTGGATTTTATCTCCTATATTGTTAATATGTTTTGGTGTCGGTAGCTTTTTTGGGGTTTCTGTGAGCCTTCCTTTATTTGTTGTACCTCTTGTTTTATTATTAATATATTTGGTTTGGTTGAAAAAAAAAGTCCTCATTAAAACTTCCCAACTCCTTTGTTTTTCAAAAAAAATGAAAATAAAATGATAAAAAAAGTCAACAAAAGCACTATCAGATAAGTTAGGCGTCATTTGGGACAACTTTCCTACTGCTTTCTAAAATAAATTTCATGCACAAAATTTTCTAATTAAAAAAAAAATTGTACTAAAATGTTACTTTAGAAAGTAGCAAAAAAATTATCCCAAACGAAGCTTAAATCTCTTCCATAATTTCATCACCATGACCAACAAATTTACAAAATAACTTAAAATAACAAAAATAAATCAATTTTATATATATAAAAAACACACACACACACAACAAGTCAGACCTTAAAGCTATTTTTAACTTAAAATCAGGGCCAGATGTTCAGGAAATATGAAGTTGCAATCTAAGGCCAAAACTGATCTATCCTTCAAGAAAAAAAAAAAAAAAAAAACCCATCAAACAATAAGGAAAGGGCATTAACTTATCGCCTCTAATCCGACAATGATAAGAGTTATTTAAGTAAATCTGAGCTAGACTGACAAACACACACAGCTAAGAATGTTGAAAGATTATGATATACAAAGAAAAACGCAATAACATCACATCAACATGCCAATGAACAACTAATGGCTGTCCCATGAGAAATTATTCTGTGGGGAGGCCTAACGCAGAACGCCGCCCGGAGACCGAACAAAATGCGTCACGTCAGCGATACTAAGCTGCGGTACCAGGCAAATGGGTGACATGACGCATTCTGGTTGATCTCCGAACAGCGTTCAGCATCCGCACAGAATAATTAATCACGTCCCATTGAGAAATAAAAATACGAGAAAAAGCATGTACCTAAGATGCACGGCACTCCATTAGAAAGCAGTATATGGTGTTCCCACGTCCAGGACACAGGATGCTTGTATGCTTCTAAGATTTCATTTGGGATAACTTTCTTACGGCTTCTTAAAGCAGATTTTTAATAGAAATTTTTATTTTTTTAATAAAAACAGTAAAAAAACTGTCCCAAACGAAACCTAATACTATCAGATACACCATCCACATGTCCAATTAATATAATGAAAAAATATGACTAAGCGTGTCTAACACATCTGATATGAAAATCCTAAATACTTAAATCTCTAACTGATCATGCACTAATTTTATTTTCTTTTGTCGTTTCCCCCTTCATTTGGCTCAAACATCACAATCCGACAACTCACTTAAGGCCCTTCTATTTTTAGTCAGCTTTTACTTCTCTTTCATATCTAATATTTTATTTTATTTTATTTTTTGTATCCTTAATTATAATAATTTTTACATCCATGATATAAGTAGCTGAATACATAAACTCTGTGCTTATCCGCAAGATTGACAAAAAAAGTTGAATACATCATAGAAAAATTGAATGTTTTGACCAATTATAATTCATATGATATGAGAAGATTTGACAAATGAAACACCAACTTATCCAATCAATTTGGGAGAAAGCTAATAGTACAAGACAAGAAAACTACAGGTACAAGACAACCAAACAAAGAAAAGGTTGCCGATAAAACAAATAGAGCTAATTTCCACACCAACTTATCTCACTGTGCATATCCACTTATGAAAAAGAGGTATTCAAAACAAACACATACCATGGCTGTTTGGAGAAATATGGGAGGGCCTTCAGCTCCAAATTCTAAGGAAGAAGAAAACCAAATTTAATTATAACAAATAAGTAAACCAAAGTGCCTGAAATGGGGACTAATGATCCCTTCATGAGCTTCTTTGAATGATATCATAGTTAGTAAATACCAGAAACTTGGCCACAGCAACCAGTATTGCAGGCTTCAATCATAATATTCTCAAGTCAACATAAGCTCATTTGTATCCAGATGAGGAGGGCGCATGGACACATGAACTTCATGTTCTTCCGGCCCAACGCGATGCTTAGGAACCATGATCTCAAGGATGGAGCCAGTCTCATCATAGTAAGCTTCTATATTAGCATCCTCTGGAATTCGAGTTGCCAGAGGAATTTCTCTTACAAACTCCCCAGGAGGACAGTGCTCAGCAGAAGAATCTGCTAGTTTAAATGTTCTATCGTGTCTCTTCAGAAAAGGCGTCCGTCCAGTGCTGACACAAGATATCTTTACAACTCCATGATTGAGGCTGTTCCTCCAACAAACCTTCACCCGCTGCTGATCAGAGAAGGGCAAACTCACCACTATAAGATAGCCATCATCATCTTCATATATTGTTTTGGCAGCAGTAACTGGACCGTATACATGCCTCATCAACCCGCTAAATTCATTGATCCAAGAAGGCTCACCAGGGTGGATGTCCATATGTTGCGACCTCTCTAAATAAGGATTGGAAGGCAAGCAGCAATCATCATCCATAGCCTGAGGGAATAAATCCTTCTTGCGTTTGTTGGAATGTGGAGAAAGTTCCATCAAATCGTGATTCAATGGCTCAGTTGATAGATTCAAGTCAGATCCACCTAGTGGTCTTCTTGGATTGGGATGTATACTGTTCTTCAACAGAAGAGGTCTCTCAAGCTCAAAATCCATGCTTGGAAGATTTCTCCAAGACCCAAAATCACTAGCCTCTAGTGGTATTGTGAAGTTAAGGTCCCTTCCTGTAAGCTCAATCCATTTCTTCTGATCCGCGTCAGAAACGCTGGTCAAAATGGGCTGCCTCACAACCTCAATTCCATGGATGCACTGTGGGTTCGACAAACCCCGGTAATGCTTCCGTTGCATCCGGTGGGATCGGACAAACCCCCTGTCAGCAATGAAAGGGAATCGAGGTTCACCAAGGCGACAGTGCCCATTCATGTAGCTTCGTAGCTGCATCTTGCCCAATGAATTCTCAGGCCTCTCCTTGAAAACCCACATGTACATATTCTCCATATCATGTTGGACAAGGAAAGCATCAAGTTTCAGATCAGATTTTTCAAAATCAGAGAACCCATTACAGTCATGGATGACCTTTGCCTTGGACTTCACAGAGAGAATGGGTTTGAAGTAGTAATTGAAAAAGAACCACGCTCCCCAAATGCTGTCCCCCCTCTTCACGCACTTGCGGTTGCAGAGTCTAGGGAGATGGAGGACAGTAGCTTCTGCCTCATAGATCTGAGGGCCAAGGCTAACGTCTATGGTTTCAAAGGCATCTGAGCTCCAGAAAAGTGGTGGAGGGGACCGTTCAGCAGAGAGGGGCAGGTTGATATCAGGTGCGGGACGGGAGAGGGCCATCTGTTGACGTGGCTGGATCAAGAGCTCGCGTTCGGTGTTCTCATTGGAAGGACACATGGTGTTTGCACCGGCACCTGTGGGCTCAATTGACAGTGCGGTGGAAAGATGGTGGCTCTTCATCGAAAGGGAAGACAGAAGGGATTCACCCATGTTTCTCTTTTATCTCTCTATCAAATCACTAATCTTCCTCCTTCCTTTCGATGCTGAACTACCCCCCTCCACGAAATTACTATATCCCTGGTGGATTTATCAGATTTCCAACACACCGAGTATGCTGAGTATTCCCAAAAAAACCCACACGAGCCCATTCCATAAATACCAGCATCAAATAATAGTGAATAGTAACATAACAAAGAAGAATTCCCCCAAACCCAACCGACTTTCCCGAAGAAAACAACGAAAACAACAATCAGAATAACAACAATACAAATCTCTCATCGGTGGAAACGATCAAACAAAAAGAAAAAGAGCAAGGAAAGGGAAATAAGAAACAGGCTAGGCCTCGGGAATGCCGGTATCGGAGAAAACAAACTATTTCCCGATCTACAGTACAAAAGCCAGCCAACGATAGAGACGGAAAGGGACGGGGAAAATTATAAACCCTAACCCTAGTCGTAATCGTTGAAAACGTTGAAGAAATCTCACTAACTCTTCGATCCAAACCAAACGGCGGTGCAAGCATCTGCGCCGCTCCCCTCCGCCAATGCCAGTATCGTAAAGAGAGAGAGCGAGAGAGATAAAGAACAGTACAGTGCAGCGAAGAGAGAGAAAGAGAGCGCGCGCGCCAGCGAGCGCAGTCGCGCAGAAGCTCAGACAGAGGAACATTAACGGTAACGGAATTCGGGCAAAAGAAACCGTCAAGCACCGTTAGTTAACGCTAACGGTGGATCAGCCGATGCCTGTATCCACGAGTTGATATCAGCCGTCCAACTCGATCTCCCACTCTACTTTTCAAGTGATCGCGTCGCTTTCGACGCATATGCTCTGATAGGCCGTTGGGTGGAGACTAATCATTCAATTAACAAATAAAAAAAACTTATTAAAAAAAAAAAGGCCGTTTACCTTTTCTCTTCTGCCTATCTCTTTCTCATTCTCTCTTAATAAAAGAGTTTATTATTTATGAAACTCCAATTAAATAATCCAATCATGATGATTATTATAAGAGCAGTATATAACTTCTTTTTTTCCCAAAAAAAAATATAACTATTAATATTTTAATGCCTCTTTTTTCGTTGGCTGTAATGTAAGAAAAAAATCTCTACCAAATGGTTTAGGCAGCTGAGTTGCGTCCTGGAGTATTCGCGGCGGTAGAAAAATATATAGTTTAACGTCTTAGTATTGTACGAAGATCCAGCACACAAGTAGATAAGAGAGAGTGTGTAGTATTCATGAGAGACACCATATTTTTTACGTGGAAAACCCGTAAAAAGGGGAAAAATCATGGGGTCTGTCCCAGTTTGAATGAATCTACTAGTATTTGCAGTCGATTACAAATGAGGCCCTTCTTGGGGAGAATGCCTTGGCTTGATGGTACAAATGTACATCGCATAAAGCGCATTACATGGTGAGAGTTATAATAATCAACAAAGACATGTTTGTTTGGCCAGCAAGATCATAGTTGATAAGATAGATGTCAGAAGGACCAAAGTTGGCAGGAGACCAGGGTCAAAAAGACCGTTGTCTGGTGATGGAGATCGGCAGTATTCTGGGAGAACTTTGAGCATCAAGTGGTGGCTTGGTGGAGCTCAAGGCTTCAAGTAGTGGTCCGGCGGAAGTCCGGCCCTCACGCGATGTTCAGGTGGAGCATAGGGACTTAAGTGGTGGTCCGGAAGAAGTTCGAGCCTCAGGTGGTGGTCCGGTGGAGCAACAGCGTCAGGTGGTGGTTCGATGGAGGTGAGATCCTCCAGTGGTGGTCCGACGGAGCAACGGCATCAGACGGTGATCCGGCAGAGGTGAGGGCCTCAAGTAGTGGTCCGGCGAAGGTGAGGGCTTCCAGTGGTGGTACGGCAGAGCAACGGTGTCAGGCGGTGGTCCAGCGAAGGTGAGGGCCTCCAATGGTGGTACGGCAGAGCAACGAAATCAGGCAGTGGTCCGGCGGAGGTGAGAGCCGGCCTCCAGTGGTGGTCCGACAGAGCAACGACGTCAGGCGGTGATCCGGCGGAGGTGAGGGCCTTAAGTGGTGGTCCGGTGAAGGTGAGGGCCTCTAGTGGTGGTCCGGCGAGCAACGGCTTCAGGCGGTGGTCCAGTGGATGTGAGGGCCTCAAGTGGTGGTCCAGCGAAGGTGAGGGCCTCCAGTGGTGGTACGGCGGAGCAACGGCGTCAGGCGGTGGTCCGACGGAGGTGTGGGCCTCAAGTGGTGGTCTGGTGAAAGTAAGGGCCTCCAGTGGTGGTACGGCGAAGCAATGGCGTCAAGCAGTGGTTCGGCGGAGGTGAGGGCCTCCAACGGTGGTCCGGCGAAACTCTGGCGGTGGTCGAGGAGCTTCTTTCTTCTCTTCTTGCTTCCCTCCCACTCTCAAGAGAAATGAGGGGTCTATTTATAGATTTTCTGGAGTGGCATGACCTATAAATAAATGAGAGATCAAGGGTAAATGGGGAGTGATTGGATGGACGGCCGATATTGAATCTCTTGATCATGCACCATTTGATGGATATTTTAAGGTCTAATTGGCGTCAGAATTCAGTGATATTGGGCACGTTGGATTCCTCTCGTCGAGCCGCTCGATTCGACTATAAGCTCGTTGGATTCCTCTCGTCGACCGTTTGGTAATCCAAATTGTTGTTCGAACCTTCCAACATTGCTTCTAACCCTTGATTTGGACTCATTTGGGCTCGGATTGAGTCGAATTAGGTGTCGTTGGGTTCGTATTTCTGAGACACTCAGTTAGACTATAAGTTTGCTGAAATCGGAATTCGGATGCTCCCAATTTTAATTTTGGAAGTGTCCAATATGATTTTGCATCGAGATTCGTGCCCGATCAAGATAATTTTTGGAGAACGTATCAAAGCTATTTAAAGAAATTTGATAAATATTATATTTATAGTTATTTATTTGGTTTTAAGATAATTTTTAATTGATTATGTATAGCATTCATTTTAAAATTAATATTATCTATTTACATTTTTTTAAATTATACCTCTAATTTTTAAGTATTTATAACATGAAAAGTAATAAATGAAAGTATGGTACTTTTTGAAAGTTTAGTGCCCATTTAGGATCATTTGTTTCGATTTTTTATTTATATGTTTTATTTTATTCTATTTGCATTTTAATATAAAATAAACATATGTTTGATATTTTAAATAAATATTATTTTATTTTTATTGAATATTGAACAAGGTTGCGAAGACAACTGATAGTGGTAGTGATCGGTGGCCGACAAACACGATGTTGTCCAAGAGAATTTTTATTTTTAGAAATAAAAATACTGGAAAATAGTTAATTTTATTTTGACTTGATACATCCCCAAAAATATATATGATCGAGCATGAATCTTGATGCATATCTAAATCGAAAACTTTTAAAATTAAATTTGGAGTCATCCAAACTCCAATTTTGGAAATCTTACAGTCAAATTGAATGTTTCTGAGAGACGAACCCAACGATACCAAAATCGGTCCAATGTGAGCCCAAATGGGCTAAAACCAGTTGGCAATGCATATTTGAAAAGCTCAAAGCGTAAATTGGATGATCAACTGATTCTAAATATGGCAAGCATATAGTCCAATTGAGCGGCTCGAGAAGACGAATCCAACGAGCCCAAGATCACTTAATTCTGACATCATTTGAAAACTTAAATGCTTGATGAATATTTTATAATCGTGGGAATCGATATTAGCTATCTGCTTGCGTACTCCAAATTTTTCCTGGATCTTATCCATCTTTGTAGACCATACCACTTACAAAAATCTATAAATAGACATGTGTTCTCTTCATAAAGGAACTCTTTGTCTGTAGATTTGAGATAACTCTGAGACTTCAAGGATCCTAGAGTTTCACCCAAGCACCACCACCGGTGAACTTTAGTCGACAATTGTCTGACCATCGTCTGTCGACTATAGTCCCGCCGACCACAGTCCCTCAGACCTTCATCCCTCCGACCTTCGTTGTCCGCTAATTATTGTACCTCCGCCCCCATCACTTCTCGACTACAGTCCTGCCAACCATCATTCCCCAACTATAGTCCTATGTACCAACCAAACTAACAAGCCAACACTCTCTTAAGAAGAACTCTATTTACTACATCAAGCCAATGCCCCCCCCCCGCCCCAAGCGCCCGTATAGGGATGTCTCTTATCCCATTTTTCCTGATCTTATCATATGTAGAGCATCCAGTTCAAAAATCTATAAATAAACATTGTTTCAAAAGAATCTTTGTCTTGTAGATTTCAGATAATCTGAAGGTTTCAAGGATCCTAGAATTTTCACCCTAAGCACCACTGCCGGGAACTTTAGTCGACAATCGCGACCATTGCCTGCTCACTATATCCGGCCGACCACAATCTCGGTCTCCCCATCCCCTCATCCCTCAGACCTTTGTTGCCCGCCGACTATTGTACCTCCGACCCCTCCTCCCCCCCCCCACTTCTCGAAACTACAGTCTGCAATCACCATTACTTGACTATATCCTACAACCAACCAAACTAACAACCACACTCTCTGAAACACTCCATTTATCATGCATAACACTAGTAAAATATTTAACTGGCATAGCCTTTTCCTTTGGGTTTTCCATATAAAATTTGAATACTAAAACTTGACT